CGGACGCCTTGGCCAATGTGGAGCAATCAAGATTACCTCTGCCCTTTCCTGAATCAGCTTGCGGATGGTTGCCTGTAACAATGGAAGGGGAGGAAAGGCATAAAGTAGACCCCCCGGCCACTGGCACCGGAGGGCATCCGTTCCCTCTGCTCCCTGTGTCGGGAACCTAGAGAAGAACCTGGGGAGTTGGGTGTTCGACGGGGAGGCAAAGAGATCCACGAGAGGATGACCGAACCTCAGTGAGATGTCCCTGAACAGAGCCGGGTCCAGTCGCCACTCCGAGTGGTCCACTGTGGCTCTGCTCAGAGAATCTGCTTGTCGATTCGCCTCCCCCGAAATGTGTTCTGCCCTGATGGATGCCAAGTGGGACTCCGCCCACAGACCCAGATCCAAGGCCTCCTGCATGAGCGACCAGGATCGGGTCCCTCCCTGCTTGTTGACGTGAGCCTTGGCTGCCACGTTGTCCATCAGGATCAGGACGTGTTGCCCCGCCACTAGGAATGAGAACTGTTGGAGTGCTAAATGTATGGCCCTGAGTTCGAGCCAGTTTATATTGTGAACTAGATCCAACCGGGACCATTGTTCCTGTGCCAGATGAGTCTGAAGGTGTGCACCCCAACTGAACAGACTGGCGTCTGTGGTCAAGGTGAGCCTGAGGGGGGTTCCTTGAAGATGGTCCCCTTGGCCATGGCGGACGAAGTTCACCATAGGAGAGATAACAAGGTGTGGTGGGGAACTCTGATCCTTCTGTTGGAGGAACTGAGGTTCTGTTTCTCGAAGGGAAGAAGAAACCATTGGAGGCGTCTTGAGTGAAGCCTGGCCCACGGGACGATCCCCATGCAAGAAACCATCTTTCCCAGGAGCTGGAACAGCTGTACCAGCGGCACTGTTTTGTCCTTCCGAACCTGATATACCAGCTTCCGGATGCTGACCCGACGTTCCTGGGAGAGATAAACCTTGCAAAGCTCTGAATCTATGATCGCCCCAAGATGTAGAAGGCGCTTTGTGGGGATCGTGTGGCTCTTCTTGAAGTTCACGGAGAACCCGTGAGCTTGAAGTGTTCGTATCGTGATCTGCAGGTCTGACTGTGCCAACTGAAGGGAATTGGACTGAACTAGAATGTTGTCTAGGTAGCATTGCACGCGCACCGGCATCAGCCTGAGGTGAGCCGCCAAGACTGCCAAGATCTTTATGAAAACCCTTGGAGCAGAAGATAGACCGAAGGGAAGGGCTCTGTATTGGTAATGTCATGTGCGTGACAAAACCGGAGGAACCTGCAGTGTTCTGGGAGTATGGGAATGTGTAGGTACGCCTCTGTGAGGTCTATGGAGGAGAGGAAATCCCCTTTTCTGATGCTGGCGAGAATGGACTTTAGGGTCTGCATCTTGAATCTTCTGTAGGTCAAGAAGTAATTTAGACTTCTTAAGTCCAGTATCGCCCTCCATCCTCCTGAGGCTTTTGGGACCACAAACAGAATGGAGTAAAATCCCTTTCCTTCTTGATCCCGTGGTACTTGTTCTATGGCCTGGATTTCTAACAGATGGGAGATGGCCATGGCTACCAATTTTGATTTGTTTGCATTTCATGACACCGGACACCGTATGAATCGGTCTGGAGGGGAGGAGTAGAACTCTAGGGTAAGACCGTACTTGACGGTCTCCCTTACCCAAGAGTTGGTGGTGGTCACTTCCCAAATGTCACTGAACAGTGCCAGACGACCCCCGATGGAAGAGTCCTCCCTGGTGTCACTTGGAACGCCTGTATGGGCGGCCCCCCGATCCCCGAAAGGGACGTTTGGCCTGGAACTGTCCCCTGGCTCCCATGTTTTGGCGGTCCTGCAGACGATCCTGTCTGGGGGGGAAGGATCGCGAGCCTCTTGACCAATCCCAGGACTGCCCTGCCCGAAAAGGGCTGTCTCCACTCTCGGGAGCTACTGGGACGGAAGGGCAGCCTACGAAACTCCTGTTGGGGCCGCCTATCAGACCATTTGGAGGGATGAGCCAGGATCTTGCACTTATCCTTGCCCTCAATAATGTGAGGTTCCAAGATTGGGCCAAACAACTGTGTACCACTGTATTTAGACGTGGACAAATGCCACTTTGACTTTAAATCCGCTCTCCACTGTTTCAGCCGTAGTAGTCTACGAGAGGCCACCGTGGCTGCAATGGATCTGGCAGAGTACCTGGTCAAATGAAGAGAGGCATCTGCCACGTACTCTGAAGTGGTCATGAGCTTGCCTAGTGTCTGGTGTGTTCGAACCTGGTCTGGAGGAACAATTGCCTGTAGCTCGCGAAGCCACATGATCGATGCCCTGGCGAAGAAAGAGGACGAAGTTGCGGCCTTGATTGCCCATGCCGAAGCCAGGTGTGCACGACGGAGAGAGAGTTCGAACTTCTTGGCCTCCGCTTTCAATGCCTCAGCCATATTCCCTGGAATAGCTGCTGTAGAAAACAGAGAAGTCAGGGGGGTGTCTACAGAAGGGACTTCCAAAAGGGAAGCGAACGAAGAAGAAACATTGAACAGTTTCTTCTCTGAACTGTTAGGAGAAGGAGGAATGGCCAGGGAAAACCACTGTTTCTTCACTGTGGTACGGAAGACCTGTGGACAAGGAATCTGCTTGTCTTCCACCACATGTTCCGCGAACAAAGGATTAGATTCCTGACTGGCGGAGGTAGAAGATTTGAAGTGAAGTGAGGTTGACTGTAGTAATGGCCTTTAACAGTAAAGACCTGAAGAGAGAAGGATCAAAAAGTCCCGAAGTTGGCGCCTGTTCAGGCGCTGCCTCCTCATCCTCTGACATGGGCATATCAGCTATCTCCAGGTCAACAGACTCCTCCTCCCCCAGTTGGGAAAAGGTCTCGGAAACACCCGAAGCGGGGACTGAGGTACGCCCTGCCTGAGAAGGAGGGACAGACGGAGGTGGTTGAAAAGGTCGTTGTCCCCTTAAAGACATGAATTGCATGAATGCATTTTGCATGAAAGACTGAAACTGAGCTGACCATATGTCACCCTGTTCCATGTAACTAGCACCAGCCTTAGCTGGGATGCACGTGGCCTCAGGTCCTTGGTGAGCCAAAGATGATGAGGAGCGAGGGGGGCCAACCTGCTCAGTTTCCCCCTGAGGAGACCAAGCCCTTGGGTCATCATGAGAAGGAACAACAGGAGGTTCAGATATTGGAATGTCCAATGGAGCGGGGAAAACCATTTCCACTTCACTCGACCTGAGCCTTTGGGCTTTAGAGAATTCCCTCTCCAGTGCCAAATGTCTCCTCGAAGCCTCTCGCTTGGCTGATTTAGAGGGTTCCTTGGGAGAAATGTGTTTTGTTTTGGCCTTCTTTTTCCCCCCCGTGTCCAAGTCAGTAGATCTGCGTTCTGATTGAGAGGGGGGAATCCCGGAACCCTGTGATGCCTGAGGCAAAGAACTGTCCGCCACTGCAATCCAGATATACCAAGTAGGAAATATCCAGATGGTGGGGGAAGACCAACTACGCAGATTTGGTTGACAGAGATGGAAACCCGATCCTCGCTCTGCACAACAGCAATGGCAAGAGACAGTCAGACAGTTTCCTAGAACTGTCTGTCTAGGCCTGTGACAAATGCCACACACTAATGGCAACAGGTGGATTAAATTATGCCCCTTCGCTCAACTCACCCCAAGGACCAACTGGAATTGTGCAGAATCACAATAAGTACGTAGAATCCAAATGATCCACAATACGGGTCTGAAATCAGCCCTGTATAACTTCCCCCAAATGAGGACTGACAAGTCAGGCCCGCAAAATAAGGATCAGGCCTCTGTGCCATGTGAGGCACACCGAGGCAGTCCAAGATGGCTTCCTTGTTCAAAAAGCCACACCCAAAATGGCGGCCATTGTTTTTGCTGGCTTCAAAATGGCAACCGCCTGCCCCACAAACGGTTAAGATGGTGACCGCGCCTCTTTTAGAGCCTCCCAAGGAGGACTAGTACTCAAAAGGGAAGGGAAATTGAGGGAAAGCAAATCCCCAGCCAGAAGCCGATCCCAGAGCCAGATAAAATTAATGAAATATTTCCCCAAAACTTGTGGTTAAGCATGCTGTCTCTGCTGCCGCGATCTCGGGATCCAAAAAGAAGCCTCGTGTCTCTGAGGCCGAAAGGGAAGCTGCTGAACCGTCTGAGTCTCTAGGGGCTCCAATTGCTGAAATTCAGCTGGTCCGCTGATCCGCAGCCCCGCTATTCGCTGCCTGAGAGCCGAGTCCTCAGCCGGAAAGAAACTGTTGCAGTCCTCCACAGAGGAGCCTGTGGCTAGAAGCCAGAAGGCCCCAAATGAATTTCAGCGTTAAAATTAGCCAATTCGCGAAATTTAGTTCCAATTTTAAATAAAATACCAATTGAATAAGCCAATTACAATTTGAAATGAATAAATTCCAATTAGAAAATACCAAAAGTCAATTAACCTAGCCTGACTAAGACAGCCAAAACTTTCGCGCCCAACTGAGTCCGAGACTAAGTCAAAACTGGGAAGACACACCTTCAGGGAGTCATGGCCAAAGTTCTGACCTAGTCTATCTGAGCAGGAAGGCTGAAATAACCCATCCAGTGGATTCTACACTCATCACGCTGGAGAACAGTAAGACGCTTCTCTCAGGCAGCAATTTATTCTTGAGTTGACTGTTCACTGCTATTCTGCAGAAAGGGATAGACCAGTATTTTTCAAACTTGGCACCTTTAAGAATTCTGGGAGTTGAAGTCCGCCCATCTTAATGATGCCAAGTATGAACACCATTGGGATACACAAACTGTCCTTGTTGATCTAAACATATGCAGGTGTTTTCTCTTCTCCTTCAATTGCCAGAAATATGTGAGGGGGGGGGGAACAAACCTCTTAAAATGAGATGAAAGGTTGCAAAGACATATCTCTGAAGAAAACAAAGTGATCATCAAAGGCTGCCAGCTACTTCCAACACTTCAGAAAATGAAAAAGAGCAAACAGTCAAAGAACAAGTCAAGAAATATCACTTACCCTGACATTCTGAAGAGAAGCCAACTCAACAGCTTTCTGAGCCAGAGTTAAGAGGTTAGCCTCTTGAGAAATACGCCGTCTCCTCCGGGTGCTCTGGATGACTCCTCCTCTAACCGCACCAAAGTCATTTGTTCTCGGACCAATGCCATCAGTGGCAGCCACCTGTTTTCCTGCTTCTTGGGCATTCTCATACATGCCCACCATCTCCATGTCAGGCTGGCTTGGCTGACTCCCCGATGGCATATCCCCATGGTCTAGTTCTGTCCTACTTAGTTGGGAATAACTTTCCTTGTGACTGAACATTTCAGACTGAGGTTGGAACTGGACTTCAGGGTGTTGCTGTGATTGCCAGGGATGGGTTGGGACAATGTTCCCAGGGTAGTCCTCAGCTGCCTTGGAGACCAGAGTTCCTTCTCCAGAAGGTATTGGTGGGACACCTTCCTTGGAGAGCCTGCGTGATCTCCTTGGGAGATTGATCTGTGCCTGTGGTAGCACTGACTGGGGGTTCTGCTCTGTCAGAGCCTTCAGCAATTCCTGGTTCCTCTCAGAAACTGGATGGAACTGATGGGAAACCATATGATGCTGAACAGGCTGAGGGGGTGCTCCCAGATGTGGCTGTGGTACAGAAGCCGATGGCTGAAGGCCAAAAGTCTGCACTCCTGCCTGTTGGTGGTGGTGATGGTGCTGCTGCTGTTGGGAATAATAGTTTTCAAACAGCTGCAACTGTGGAAGAGCCTGCTGTTTCTGCTGAGCAGTAAAAGCTGGGCTGGAAGATGTGGGAGCTTGTTGAAGAACATGCAACAACTCAGGAAGACCCTGCTTCTGGCCCTGCTGACCAAAAGCCAATTGGAAAGGTTGCAAAGAGAGGTTTTGATTTTGCTGCTGCTGCTGTTGTTGTTGTTGCTGCTGCTGCTGCTGCATTTGCTGAAAAGAGCTCATCTGGGCCTGCTGCCTGGCCAATGCTTGCTGTTCCAACTGGGCCTTTTGGGATAACATCTGCTGGACAGCATCCCCATACAAGTCCAGCTGTGATACCACTCCCCCTTTCTCCCTGTTCCTTTTCAGGGCATCTGGGTGGCCATAGTAATCTGGGATGCTGGCATTAGGATGTCCTCCTTTCTGGTTGCCACCATAAACTATGCCATGGTTCCACCCTCTGGGCTGAGGCTGCCAGTTTGCCTCACTTCGCTCAGGCAACCGGTTTGCCATTAGGGAACTCTGCCACTTGGCAGCAGCCAGTTGCTGGGCTGTCATCCTCACCTCCCCTCTGTCCTGATACATTGAATTCAGCAATGCAGCATTGCTGGGAACACTGCTGAAAACCCCAGCCTTGGTCAGCTCCATGGACTGGGTGGGAGGCACATTCCCTCCGTGGCCGTAATAATGTCCTTCTTTTAGCTGCTGCTGCTGCTGCTGCTGGTGAGCTTCTTTCAGAAGAGAATCTTGCTCACTAAAAAATGCAACCCGCTTTCCAGCTCTTTTGCTTGAAGACTTTGGCTGAGCCTGAAGACTCATGATTCGGTGCCCGTTAAAAGTCAGATCAGCAACCAACCCATTGCAAATGCAAGAGCAGAACGGGAGGTAGAAAGTATGAAGCCAACAAAAGGCTCTCCTCTTGCATCAGCTAATTCATGCAGAGTTGGAAGGGATGGATCGCAATTTGTAGTTTAAAAAGGACGCCAAGGTCCAATGGTTTCACTCCCTGAAACAGAAAAATGCACTGTTAATAGGAAAATAGCAAGCAAAACCTGATATATACCGTTTTCTTAACTTGGGCAACTGTTTTAAGAGTAAGACATCCAAACGCCTTACATTTTCTGGATCTCTCTACTTAAAGCAGACCAAAATACAGGTAGTCCTGGTTTAGCAACTCAACTTGGTCATTAAGTGTAGATGTCACTAAGTAAAACCGTGACTGGGTTTCTAATTTTACTTCAGATTTCCTTTGCTTTACAAACCTGCAGATGCCGTATATGTCAGGACTAGTTGAAGCGTTATTTTTTCATCACTGCCGTAACTGCAAACAATCACTGTATAATGCAGTTGCTAAATGAGGACCACCTGTGCTGCCTTCAAGGCGGTTAAAAATGGGATTTGTTCACTACACTTAAGGCCTAAGCTGTTTTAAACCATGGCTTCTTAAATTACCACTGCAAAAAGGCTTCTACATAATGGCAATGTACGTGGAAGACATTGCACATATCTATATATCAAGGCTTTCCATTGCAGAGAACGAAACTTTATTTATGGACAACCAATTAATGCACTTGCTTACAGAGGAGACAGGCAGTCTCTACTGCTCACAGGTAATATGCCAGTTTAGAGCATCTGAATAGAATTCAACAGTGGCCTATTACATAAATAATGCTAAACCCAAAGAACTAACCCAAGGCAGACAAACTACAAACCTCATGCAATTCCCAGATTCATTTCTAAAATTTTAGAATCCTCGGGATTGCACAATTCAATGACAAATCACAGATAAAGGATAGCATTCTTCCCTAAATCTTCGTTAGCAGAAAAGCAACATTATAAAGAGCAGGCACTGGGAGAAATAGAGAAAGCATGCTTCCAAGATCTCAACAGATAACATTGTTTAATCAAAGGAACCAGGAATATACCTACCATTAAACAGAGACAGACATATAATGTAGTAGACCGGTGGTTCTCAACCTGTGGGTCGGGACCCCATTTGGGGTCGAACGACCATTTCATGGGGGTCGCCAAACAAGGCTGTCCGCCATTTTTTCCCCTTTTCTTTGGCCACACCCCTGGCACCCGGTGATGTGTAAGTGGTTGGGGGTCACCACAACATGTGGAACTGTATTATGGGGTCGGGGCATTAGAAAGGTTGAGAACCACTGTAGTAGACTAATACACTATTCCAATTTTCCTTTTACAGAGCCCTAGCTGGTAACAGAATTAGTCCTACACACCCAAATGTTAAGATTCTTCATGTCTTTTTAATCTGTTGTATGATGCACAATGCTAATAAACAACTTTGGAACTTAAATGATACACTTTGAGCTGCTCCGGAAAGGTGGCTAAGTATTCATTAGGCAAATCCACAATGTCGTGCATTATATACTAGGAAAGCCAGTAGGAAAAGAGAGTAGCTGAGATCCTGCTTTCTGGAACTTCTGTTCTGAGGATGGGTCCTATCTGATCAACACAATGGAGGTTTCTAGCTATACATATTCTCTAGTCTATTTTCAGTGTAAGCAGCTTCCATTTCACAGAGGCATAATACTTTTCAAGTATAGAGATTACCATCAATGTCAACAAAAAAGCAAGAGAAATAAAACTGATGAAGCCCCAGTTCAGACACTCTTCCTAGAGAGGCACCCATGTGTACACAGCAGGGAAGATCCACACTGGATAAGTTGATTTTCAATTGAACTACTGAGTTGAAGGCATAAGGGGAAGTCCACTTATTTTTTTCCCAACTTCATAATGTAAAGAGTGCCAATGGGTTCTTTCCTCCTTCTAAATTGTTGCCACTCCCAGATAATCACCAACACTTAGCTAAATGTTGTACACATATATTAAGGTTAATTAAAAGTAATACCAACTGTAATAAGAATGACTTGATAAGACAACTTGAATCTGGCCTCTTTTCAACGTGCACAAGACCACACAAGGAAACTGATTGTAATGCAACTGTCTCTCAGTTTCTATACAAAGGAAGGCTGTCTACAAGCTTTCCCTTTAGAAGGCAAATAACCACAACAAAAGAAAGAATGGGTGAGATGTGTGAAGAGAAACAGAAGGAATTTGAAAAGCCTACTTTAACATAACCTTTGGGGTCATCTTGGACAGCAGTGCTGACTCAGCTTACCTCCAGCACAGATAAACAAATAACTCAATGCTTCTAAAATACTTGTCTAATACATCTGGAAAAATTAGAGATGAAGAAAATGTTATTAGAGAACACAACTGAAAGAATACAACTACAGGTGGTCCTCAATATACAACAATTCATTTAGTGACCGTTCAAAGTTACAACATCATTGAAAAAAGTGACTTATGACCATTTTTCACACTTACAACTGTTGCAGCATCCCCATAGTCATGTGATCAAAATTCAGATGTTTGGCAACTGATTCATAGTTATGGCAGTTGTTCTATCCCAGGATCATGTGACTTCCCTTTTGTGACCTTCTGACAAGCAAAATAAATGGAGAAGCCAAATTCACTTAACAGTCATATTACTAACTTAACAAGTGCTGTGATTCACTTAACCACTGTGGCAAGAAAAATCGTAAAATGGGGCAAAATTCACTTAATAAATGTTTCGTTTAGCAATATAAGTCGAGGATTACCTGTACAATAGCAAGGCACATTAAAATATATGCTGTTGTCTATACAGAATATTGGGCTTGCATAGTAGATTCCGCATTCAAACAGACATCTGATGGATTTATCTGTATCAATAGTCCGCAACCTTTCCAGCTTGGCAGCCCAGTCCAGCACAGGAATGGGGGTGAGGGCGTGTGAGTGGCAGGCACATGCATGCATGCATGCACAGCTCCATTTGTGTGAGGGGCAGGTGCTTGCATTTCAGTGTGATGCTCCTCGCACACAGAGTCCACTTATGTGAGTGGAGCTTCGTGCATGCTTGTTCACTGTTCCCACGAGTGGAGATTCACATCCACGTGCTTGCCCATCTCTCCCGCAGCCCGGGGATTGGGGACTCCTGATCTATATAGACATTTCACTTTCACACCAACTCTTAAGAATAAAAATTTATTTCTCCTTCAACTGCTCTTAGCAGGTCTTCTCGTTGTTGTTTTTTTTTGTTTGTTTGTTTTGGCAGCCAAACTCTGCACCTGAAGCAAAGGGAGAATGAAGCAATTGCAGGAAACTTCTGCAACATCTACTTCCCAGGGCCAGACCATCTCTACTTCCTTGCATGTGGACCACAGGCTTACCGTGTCACTGACTCACTTCCTCCTCCGCTTACCCTTGGTGAACCTTCCCTCCTCCACAGAGCTGCAAGCAGAGGCACCCTGCAACCCAGCATTAGCAAGCTAGGGCGTTCCTTCACCAAGGCTGAAAAGCTCTCTGCTTGGGAGTTCAAAAATATCTCTGACACACAAGTATGTGCACACACACACACACACACACACACACACACACACACACGGGTGGAAAATGTCTGCTTCAAATGCAACTGATACTGTACTTGCATTTGGTGTACTAGCTGGAGAAGAAAAGGCCAAGGCAGGCATTTAGACTCTCTCCAGGCTGTGAAAGCACCTCAATTAAGCAAAAGTAAAAAAGTTCTCTTTGTGTATGGCTTATTCACAAGTTGCACCAAGTCCACAGTAAATACTGGCTAGATGTGAGGCTACAACTTTTTCTCAGAAGGAAAAAAACTAAGACATGTTGTGTCAGATAACGGCTAAACAATGGCCCCAAACAGTAACCATAGAAGGTATAAACCATCTTCTGCAAGTTTTTCCCTTAAACTATTTCTCCTCCCCCTGCCCCCCCCCCAGTATAGCATGCCAACTCTGCCCTCAGGTCACCCTCTCACTTGAAGATGAATATGCAAATCTCCTCTCTCTGCTTTGATTTGATTTGATTTGATTTGTCTACTAAGCAGCAGAAACCTCTTCAATGCTACTAACCCTTTCTAACCCACATGGAATACTTTCAGTTCACTTTCGTTTTTCTTTTTACAACTACAGAATGTGGTTTCTAAGACAGACAGCTTTGCCCAAACCAGCACATTTGCAATTAAAACAAACAATCGTCCAGGAGTTCCTGAAGCATTAATGCAGCACTTAGGAGCCAAGGAAGGAGGCTTCGTTTTGTCAGAACATCTCTATAACAGTTCATCAAATACCTCTGGGAATCAGTGCTTCCTAGTTTCTGCTCCTGAATTTTGTGGAATATTTTCCCTGAAGTTGGAACTTCTCTTAAAATCATCATCCCAACCACTGTCCTTCATTATTGGTTTTGGGTGGTGAGGTGGTAAAGGTGTTAGCCTAGGAACGGGACCCAGATTCATGTCCATCTTTAGGCACAGAGATTCATGGTGTGGCTTTGAGCCAGTTATACTGACTGTCAGGACAACCAATCTCACACATTTTTTTTTTAAATTGTACAAATAGCATCAGGGTCTGCAAAACTTACCTTTCCCCAAGAAATGTTGATATCATACAGAGTCATTTTGTTTGCACCATATGTGGAGAGAACAGGGTTGACAGCTCAATTCTGTGTGTTGTTACATTCAGGAATAATCACATACAAACCAGAATAACAGCTAACAGCACATTCCCCCAAAATAAACTATTTTTGCATGCCTATAACCCCAAATATGAACATACTTATGTATTTATTGAGAAATATAAATGATTAAATAAGTTACAGAGAGTAATAAATATCCTTTAAGCACTGGATTCTGCTCCCCTCCAATTTTTCTTCCAAAGCTAATGCTTTCCAATTTATAAATTCATTTCCAAGCAAGAAAAAAATATCATAAAATGATTTTTATAGTACTCTAGGCTTGGCTATAAAAGATTTTTTTCTCAAAAGATTGTTTATGACTTTCTGTAAGTTATAAGCTGATGTAATTCCTGATGCTTTTCTCTAAATCTTACACAATCTGTCAACTTGGGCACAACTGCAGTCCGTTTGTAACTTTCTAAGATCAAACTTCTAATCATTCTTCTGCTGTTTATTCCAAAACAATGT